CTCTTTGTCGTCGTCGTGCTTCTTACTACGAGACGAATCTTTGTCATCGCTATGCTTCTTGCTGCGATGGCTCACGGATGTCTCAGCGTCGTCGTCCTTCTTAGACTTATGGCTGCGGTGGGAACGGTGCCTGCGTCGTGGACCATCGCCGATCTGAGAGATACTGTCGCTGGGAACGACAGTGTCAAGATCGTCCTCGCTTACTTCTTCAATGTCAAGGTCGTCGATGAAGTCGTCATCGTCATCCTCGTGCTTGGACTTGTCACGGCCTAGGATGCTGCTGACAATGGAAGCAGCCTTGGATGCAACCTTGGTGGGGGCCTTTGATGGAGCCTTCGATGCAGGGGCTGGTGGAGAAGGCGATGAGCTACGCTCCTTGCGACTGCTACTACTGTGCTCTTTGTGCGAGCTATGTTTCGAAGATGAAGTGTGAGAGGACCTGGCCTTTGATCTGCCCGAGCTACTCTTGTCATCATCGTCAGCACGATCTGCCACGAACGATGAGATGAAAGAGCTAGGAGCTGCGCTATGTGCTTTCGAGACTACACTTTGAGGCTTGGACGATGGTCGTGGAGGCTTGGACGTTGTTGCGACACTTTCCGGCCTAGCAGTGGAGACAGTGCTTCTTGCCCTTTCAATCATCAGCAACTCAGGGCTGGTATTGGAGCGGTGAGCTGCCGTGAGCCTCGAAGGAGCCCTTGACGGGGCAGTAGAGTATGCAGGGGCATATTCGATCGCGAGTGGCTCTGCGATCTGCGTGCGAGGAGCCTCAAACTGAGACGGTGAGTAGTAGCTAGCGGGCGCAGCCTCGATTTGTCGTGGCACAGAAGTCCTAGGGATCTGGGAAGCGCGCGAATAGGATGATTGCGCGTCGTCTTCAATGCGGCGTGCTACTGGTACTACTGGCTGAGCAGGAGTTGGCGGTGCAGCGGTCTCGACAGGTGGTTGCGCGGGTTGTGGGTCCTGCTGGGGTGTCGGGGGTTGGGATGAGGCCTGAGCGAAGAAGCCAGCCGCAGTGTTGACCGCGTTTTTGGCGTCCATGAAGGCGCTGAAATCCGCCTCTTTCTTCGCACTATCTTTTTCGCTCCGCATGAATGCATATGTGACGGCTGCACCTGCAGCAGCTCCAAGTAATGTTCCGAGGATGTGCGTGGCCGCCCCACTGCTGGAGTCGGATTTCGTCGTCGTTTCGGGAACAGGAGCGACAGTGGGTGCAGAGGCGCTTCTGGCTACAGTCGGTGGCTTCGGAACAGCTGATTCGGCCGGTGGTGCCATTGGTGTTGCGCCAGCTCTCGAAGCACACGTGTGGGCACTGAAAATACTCGGGCTTTCCCGGAAGCTCTGCGAAACTGTCCTCGACCACGTGATGACCCGGCTGTGTTCGATAATGGTACCATCGTTTCTCATGTCTGGTCCATTTCGGTAGACGACCTCGATGCTGTTTCCGTCAAAGTCCAGAACTGCGGCATTGAAGTGACCGTCTTCCGCGCAACGAGAACCCGGTGACCCATTGGGACGTCCGCCGGCAGTTAGTGCAGCGGTATAGAAGTTCCGGACCGCAGTCGTGCTAGGTGCGGTGAATGCGATGTGTGCTGCGCCGGCCCTTACACTACTGAGCTGTCAGTTGCGGTGTGCCTGGTGATCATTTGTGGTACTGACCCAGACGTTTCTTGGCAGAGATAGAAATCGGCATCATGAATTCCGAGACCAATTTGGTTGCCAAATTGGCCAATGTAGCGGTAGCCCAGTGGTTGAAGCGCAGAGAGAAAGAATGACGTTGACGTTGGAAGATGCGATACCGTGAGACCAATGTGGGAGACGGGCATTGCTGAACAGCGGTGAACAAAAACAAGAACGACAGGACGCGGACAAAGCAATCGCCGAGAGGAGAGTCAAGAAGGAAACAAGATATGAATATGCACACGATCAGGTTTGAACGTGTTAGAGCGGTTGGAGATGTATGGTGTGAGTAGGGAGGGCAAGTATCGGTACGGCCTCGAGGTTTATATCATAAACCCCGTCCAGGTGCAGCGTCTCGATGCATCGTGAACCGAGTGGCAGGGCGTTCCATACCGTTGCGGGACACACCCTACTAGCACGCCCCACTGCTGCAGTTAGCTATCAAGGAGGTCGCTGTCAAGATGTTGTGATGCTGCCACATGTCCTGCGTCTGCAGCTAACAAATTTGTTAAAGTAAGCGAGGTGTCGGTGTATGACATTGGTCCTCGACGTCGGCCCGGAGCCGCGAGAGGTTTAAGTCGCCGCACGCCTCACATTGCGTACTGCGCTATAGTACATATGGACTCGTAGCATTCTGGTCGCTTGTCGCGTGCAACAGAGTATTTGCGGTCTGGACGCGCCACTTGTCGTCGTAACGCGCCATTGGACATGGCGTGACGTCGACACTGGGGCACCGTTCGCACAAGAACCAAGATGTTGCTGCAGTGAGGCTACGATCGCAGGCATCGTGGTAGATTCTTGGAGTCGCACCAAAAAGTCGGTAGGACTTGCCATGCTGTTGCTTTTTTCGATGTTTACGCGAGATCATCATGGGAGATCGGCGATGCGGCTCCATGTATAGATGCTACCCGTTGCCCTCCCGCCACATGCGCAGAATGCGATGAGTCCCGTCAGGGAAGCGTCTAACCTCATGAAGTATAAAATGAGCGAATAACCGGGTATATGCTTGAAAGAGGGGTTCAAGGGATCGTACTGCGAAGATGACGTGAAGTATACTTTTTTCATTCGCCAGATATGTCATTCCTGACACTGATGATCCTCCTGCTCAGAGTTCCTAGAGTGGATGAAGAGCCGCGATATCCTACAAGCTAGCTACTGACAGACACGTTTCGAAATCGAACGACAGGCCCTGATTAGACCCAGTGGTATGACACCGTACACAAGGCGCATACAGACTAGCGTACTGTGCTGACAGAATAAGATGAAAGAAAAACAGGAGGTGCGGGGTAGGTTGAGCTGCCCCGCGATCTTCAAAAGAAGATTGATTGTTGTGCGTTGAGCCAGAGTAGTTGTTTTGTTGTAAAAAAACCTCAAGCAGACGCCCAAAATCAGATGCAGTAGCGCACAGGCTGTCGATGTTGCGATCTAAGCCATGAACGTGTCCTGCAGCCTATAGGTCCTGGTTATTTTTCATCAATGTGCGGTCCGTGATCCGACTCGTCCGCCGTGAGTCAGTTGTTGCTTGTGGGCTAGCTGGCGTGTCCGGTATGGATAGGTCCAACCCTTGGTCGTGCTGCCGAACTAGAAGATGTTCCAAACGTCTTCCGCAGCATGGCAGAACTTACTGCATGCAACGCTGGCACTGAGGTTAAACTGGCTAATGGCGATGCTGTCGTCCTTGATGTGATCGGCAAAGTCGTCGTTGCCCTTGGCCATGGCACCTACGAAGACTGCAATGCTCTCGCCCTTGTTGAGGCCGCCAATGTAATCGCTGACACGTACGACCTCGGAGTCGAAGCTGAGCGTGACCTTGCGGCAGTTGGGGGGAAGGTGATCGGTAATGGGGTTCTTGATGACTTCGATGAGTTTTTCCTGGGATGACGTCGACCGGATCTGATGTCTGTGCAGGAGTTGGACCATGAGTCCAGCGAATCGCTTGAAGGTACGAGGAATGCGCACTGTAGGGCTGACCCTTATGAGCACATTCTTGGAGGTGTGGATGTAGATTTGGAGCTTGCCCGCCTTGTTGATTGGCGAGTCAAGCAATGTGAGCAGACACTGTAGCGCCACGTTAGCTGACGAACGCCCTTAGCCCCCTCTTGTACGCACTTGATGTGTGATGTCAGGCCGGGCCTCGCTGATATCGCGCCCCATCTTGCGCATTACGCCAATGTGATCGTCGCTGTTGAGCAGATTGTACTTGTCTTCGCGCGCGCCGGGGCCCCGACCGGTGCCATGTGACGCCTTGTAGGTCTCGAGGGTCGCATTGCACAGAACGACGATCAGGCGCTGCGTGTCTTTGTCGTTGGTCGGGATGGGGGCATGCTGCTCGGCGACTAGCTTGGGCAGCTCTGGGGGAGGCATTGATTGTGTTCCTGCGCGCGGTACCGTAGTGTCAGCGTTGTCGGCGATTGATAGTGAGCAAAGGCAATGGCGTCACCAAGAAATCCGCGGTCGACATACTTGCGCGCTTCTTTCCCCGCTCGGCTGAGTCTCGGGAGGTAGGTCTTTCTGTTGGCGAGTTGGACTCTTCGGATTTAGGGAGGGGAGCCATATTGACGTATGGTGATAGACAAGTTACTCGAGTAACCTTGTACGACTCTGTGTGACGTTTGGCGCGAAAAGATTGGTTCAAGGCAGGAAAAGCGAAGAAGTGATGAGTCGTTTATTCGGGTACCTGAGGATTAGCAATGGCTGCATGCACTTACACACCAGTATTGATGAAGTGTCTCTTGGTCGACGAGAAAAAAAAACGGTGGATATGCGGTAAGCTCGAGCAATGGCTGGGAACTACGCGCCCTATTTGTGCGAACTGTCGGTGAAAACAGCGTTTTTCCTTCGTCCAATCACAAACGGGCGAGCGGCATGATTACGTGAGAAACCCAACAATCCACCGACTTAGTCCTCATCACCAACTCGCCTATGCACCTTACCACGCAGAGTACAACAACGGGATGCACCAGCGTTGTGTTGGAAGCAGACAGCAAGCTGCTGCCTTAGTCATTGGCTATATGCGACGTGGTCGTCCATTGTAGTGACGGTTGTTTGACTCGACGCCAGGTCGTTCGTTGGTCCGGGGAAATCCAGCGTCAAGCGAGGTCCGCAAGCGCAAGAGTATCCGAGGATGCGCAGTCAACTCGGCGTCAGTCACTGCTTACACCGACAACACCCGTGGCTTCGAGAGGAAGTGCTCCTTGCAAGTAATGTAAGCTCCCAGTCGGGCGTCGGAACGTTCTGCAACGAAAGCGTCTCACCATAGTCTCTTGGCCCGCCTTGCATTTGAAACAGTCACCATATCAGGCGGTCGCCTCACATCGAACATGCCTCTATACGCCATGCGTATGGCCTTTTCTGTAAACATCATGCGATCTGCCAAGGATACTAAGCGGTCAGGTCATGCGCGAAACGAGTCTGGTTTGGCCGTCGCGCTGCCGCCTGAGCGGCTCTGTGGTGGGTACATGAACGCTAACCGTCGCATTTTGCCCGTCCCTGTCGCTGTCATCCAACATCACGTCCTCTTTCCTTATTCCGATTCTTTCAAGTCGCAGGCGATATCTTTACACATTCTTTTGGTGGCAGCCGGCTGTCTTGATTCTGATCGTCATCGCAAGCTCGTAAACGCTCCGACAAAACAAATATTATTCCAGTCACCTCGGCCAATTCGACCGTTCGCAACCAAACAACTTCAATATGGCTTTCGAATGGCTTGCACCGATCCTTACGCCCGCCGCCCTGCGCTCCGTACAAGCTGACGGTCGACCTGTCATCACGCTCTTTCTTGTAATCTTCGGTCTCTCAGTCTTCGGTGTCCTGATATGGTACGTCCACTTCGTCACATCCAAGATGTATCCGAAGAAGAAGGATCCAAATGCCAAGAAGGGCCCGTTGCTCGGCTTCATTAAGCGATAAATGGTGGAAGAGGGCGGAGGAGGGCACGCTGGGCCAGGCTTGAAGCGAGCAGGATCCTGCCGATGGAGGACGACACGACCATCAAGAGAACAATTGCGACGTTCATGTTCTGTCGCCAAGCGCAGTCTCGATCGAATCTACGACGAAACTACTCTGATCGGCAATGGTCTCCCTTCGATTCACCACGGCGCGTTGTCTATCTTGCGGGAGGGTTGAAGGATGGATCAGACCTGTTACTACTTGTCGCAAATGGTGTTGACAGGCCACCGAGGAGCACGCGGGTTTCATATCTATGAGCGAATGACTTGCTATACTTTCAAAATTCAATACATAATTCTTACCCATCACAAACCAAATTCTTATATACACGAAAAACTGGAATGTATCTGCATTATAACACTGGCATTTGGTTCGATAACTTGTTCCACGCCATTCGTTATACAACCTCTTCCGAAGCTTGTCGGCACTCATGAGGTCCATCGGGGATTACAAGCCAATGACGTATGACCTACCCGCTTTGGATAAAAATGCAGCAAGTACACGTATATACGAACATACGGCTTATATCCGATTACTTTTAATCATGTCACTAGATATGTGGGTGCCTTTGAGTGCTATAAAACCTGATGGAAGGCGAATAATATGATGCCACCACACAAGATACCAACACACGCTTAAGACAGTTATCATCATGTCTACTCAGTCTATACCATCAGCATTGCCTCTACAAGGCAAGGTTGCTATAGTCACAGGCGCTTCGCGAGGAATTGGGGCTGGCTTGGCGTTAGAGCTGGCGCGAAGGGGAGCAAAAGTCAGTCCACCGACTTTGACCAAGTCAATCAAGCCGCTTACACATGTGACAGGTCACCCTCGTATACACATCTCCGAACAGCGGAAATCTAGCAGAAGAGATTGCCTCGAAGATCAAATTACTTGGCAATGGTAGCGATTCGAAAATCGTTCAAGCTGACCTCAAACAACTCGACGCACCTGAGAAGATCGTGTCGGCGACTAGGGAAGCGTTTGGTGATAAGATCGATATCCTCGTCAACAACGCTGGCGTTTTGTTTGACAGGTCCATCACGGAAACAACAGCAGAAGACTATTCCAGCATATTCGATGTCAACATCCGCGCACCTCTCCTTCTCACAGCCGCGGTAGTGCCCCATCTACGTGCACCAGGCCGCATCATAAACATGTCTTCTATAGGCGCACGACTAGGTATCGCCAATCTGACTCTCTACACTGCATCCAAAGCAGCGATTGAAGGCGTGACCCGGAGCCTGGCACAAGAGCTAGGCATTGCAGGGCATACAGTCAACGCTGTGGCGCCGGGTCCCACAGAGTCGGAGATGTTGGACAGTGTACCAAAAGAGGTCGTGGATGTCCAGTTGAAGCAAACTGCTGTCGAGAGAAGAGTTGGCACTGCGGACGATATCGCAAGAATTGTGGCCTGGCTCTGTAGCGACGACGCGAAATGGGTTTCGGGTCAGACCATCTCCGCGAGCGGTGGTTTCCTGAAATTGTAAACGCGTCTGTCAATGTTTGGCAATAAAGCTTCTTGTTTGATATGCAAGCTTGAAGTGGATCTCATGGTGTTTGGGTTCTAAGACCGGAGATGTTTGGACGGGAACAGATCGGATTTAGTTGGTACACGGGCAAGCGACCGTTCAAACAAACATGCAGAATACAACCGAGCGAGTACACATTTGTGCGGAAGTCGATGACGCCACAACCGTTGGATGGTCGATATTTGAACATGCATGCTTAGGGGTCGTCTTCTTCAAATTGTGAAAAGAAACTGATATCAAGACTTCTTAGGTGGGCTTGAATAGTCGCAAGCTTCAGCCAAGACGTACGAGCAGCAGTGCATCCATCTCTTACAGCTGTCACTCTCAGCCATGCCGCAAGATTATCGTGCGCCATCGAAGCTTGTGTCCAGATCCACATGGGAACGCGGTCGAAAGCCGTCGGAGGCTCGGAGCACAACGTGGAAGTCGTAAGGTGAGCCAGCATCGGCAGTTGAGCCTCAACGCACCGACCAGGGGCTGGGTGGAGGCGCTTCACTCTAACGCACTAGGTTTTAGCCTACCACGTCCCAAACGCCTCTCAAACGCCTCGCTCTGCCATTTCGCATGGCGAAGACTAAAATGCATGGCCATTCACGTTTCAGAGCTGAAGCTTGGCATAGGCCTAGCCCTAGCCACGCCATCTCGCGTCCCTAATTGGCCATCATCCCGTTGCGATACGCGCTCGTAGACAGCGGATCTTACGGTGTCGCAGCTTTGCACTGCAGAGCCATGAAAGATGGTTCGACTTCTGCTACCGTTTCGCTCTTTGGGCCCTGGATTGCCCATCCTCCCGACTATCTGACGGACTGATACCCTTTACCCACTTCGCTAATGGCAAAGCTGACCTGACCTTGTCCTAACCCCCGTCGTCGGTGCCGCTTCTTCCTCTGTTCGCCGCAACGTTGGCTTATAGGCTTTTGTTTCCCCTACTCACCCCAAGACTCGACCGATTTCATGCCGGTGCTTCTTTAGCCGGGTGACTGAACGCCTCTTCTTGTACTATTTCTCTTCTTTTGTGCGGGCACTCTTAGTAAGTCACTTCATTCTTTTCCCAGGGCTTCTCGTGCTGGTGTGTCGATGTCCCTGGTGGCTTCGATCTAACCTCTGCACAGATTACTTAGACACTCATTGAACTTGTTGCTCCACTTCGGCCACATTCAGCAGGTCTGAAGATCATCGGCATCCACACCAGTCATTCAATTGCTGCTACATTCGCTCCACCCAGCAGCTATGTCGTACACCACCAGCCTCACAGGTCGCGAGCGGTCAAGATGGCCACCGCTGACGCGCATGCTCATGTCCGGAGAGATGTCGGACGAAAAGGCGCGAGAGTTGACCCGGAAAGAGAAATTTGACGTGTGGATGGTCAACGAGGGTTACCGAAGATTGTAGGTCACAGCACCAGGCCAAAGAAGCAAATCGACTAACGTACCAAGCTTTGTGTTCACCTTTGCGATATTGCACGTTATGGTCTTCGTCTTTGGTATGATGAACTATGGACTGAAGGATAACTCTATTGGTTCAAGGAATCGCTTTGGTCTGACCTTCCCCATTGCTCGTTCGGCCGCTCTGGTGCTCCACGTCGACGTCGCTTTCATCCTCTTTCCAGTATGCAGGAACCTAATTTCTATGGCCCGTCGTACGCCGTTGAACGACGTAATTCCTTTCGACAAGAACATTACCTTTCACAAGCTGGTGGCCTGGTCCATCGTGTTTTTCTCCTGGGTTCATACTATCGCCCATTGGAACAATCTCGCCCGATTCTCGGCAACGAACGACCTAGGATTTATGGGATTCATCCTAGCTAACCTTGCGACCGGACCTGGATGGAGTGGTTACGTCATGTTGATTGCGCTCAACGCGATCGCTATTACAGCTGCTGAGAAGGCTCGTCGCGCAAACTTTGAACGCTTCTGGTACATGCACCATCTGTTCATCATATTCTTCGTCTTCTGGTCGATCCATGGAGCCTTCTGTATGATTCAACCCGATTTTGCGCCTTTCTGCGATGGAATTGGTGTCTTCTGGGAGTACTGGATGTACGGTGGATTTGCCTACCTGGCTGAACGCATTGCCCGCGAAGTACGTGGACGACACAAGACGTACATCTCCAAGGTCATTCAGCATCCTAGCAACGTTTGCGAGGTCCAGATCAAGAAGGAGCATACCAAAACTCGTGCTGGACAGGTATGTCGCCTCCCTATTCGAACATGACCGTATGCTAACGACGACAGTACATCTTTTTGTGCTGCCCTGAAATCTCCATCTGGCAATACCACCCCTTTACACTTACCAGCGCACCTGAGGAAGACTACATCTCTGTGCACATTCGTATGGTCGGAAACTTCACCAAAGCCTTCGGTCAGGCCCTTGGTTGTAGCACGGAGAGGAAGCCCCCTGGCGAGAAGGGTGAGAAGGGCGGATCGAGCGAAGAGATCGCCTTGCGACAGATCCTCCCCCGAGTCTACATCGATGGTCCTTTCGGTTCCGCCTCTGAGGATGTGTTCAAGTTCGAAGTCGCCGTTCTCTGTGGTGCTGGTATTGGTGTTACACCTTTCGCCTCGATTCTCAAGAGTATTTGGTACCGCATGAACTACCCTCAGGGATCTCGTACAAGGCTAAGGAAGGTATACTTCTTCTGGATCTGCAGAGATTTCGGGTCGTTTGAATGGTTCAGGTCGCTGTTGCTGGCTATTGAGGCACAGGATATCGATGACCACATCGAGATCCATACCGTAAGTTTTATGCTCATCAGCGGCTCTTCGAAATGATGATTTACTAATCATCCCCATAGTACCTTACAGCAAAGATCAAGGCAGACGACGCGACAAACATCATGATCAATGACGCAAACGCCGAACAGGACGCCATCACCGGTCTCCGCGCTCCTACAAACTTCGGTCGACCCAACTGGGACATGATCTTCAAGTCCATCCGCAAGATCCACTCACCTGCCGAGGCTGGTGTCTTCTTCTGTGGCCCCAAGGGTCTTGGTTCTACGCTCCACGTCAAGTGCAACATGTACTCTGAGCCTGGCTTCAGTTTCGTATGGGGCAAGGAGAACTTCTAGATGCCATCACGAGTTTTGGAGAGCGAAAAATGGGGAGAAAGACGAAGGGGCTGGGGTTATACCATTTGCTATATTGAGAGCGAATTGTCACTTATTACTACGGTTGTACATAATTCGCTCGTCTCTTTACACTTTTGGTCTTTTTGTTTGTTAATCTTGAAAGCTGCAAGCGGCTAAAGACACATGTTCAAAGTCTACGATATCCCATAGAATTTCTAATGATGAAGAAAGAATGAATTCCATACGCAAGCGTCTCCACGGCCACACATCTTCGTACTTGCCAATCCAAAGATTAGCCTGATTGTACCTTGGCTCCCTCAGATTTCAGGCATCATACAATCCTACGTATCCGTAATCAC